CACGACCACTCCTGGTCGACCAACTTCACTCATTGGCTCAAGTATTCTTTAATCAGCCTCTCTAGGCTCGTAGTGAGTATTATAGACCATTCAGGTCACGACCACTCTTGGTCGGCCAACTTCACTCATTGGCTCTGGTATTCTTTGTTCAGCCACTTCTAGCTCTCAATGAGTATTATAGACCACCCAGGTCACGACCACTCCTAGTTGGCCAATTTCACTCATTGGCTCTAGTATTCTTTGTTCAGCCACCTCAATGAGTATTATAGACCACCCAGGTCACAACCACTCCTGGTCAGCCAACTTCACTTGATGGGCTCCTTCCTTCTATGGTGTGTTCTTTGGCTTCCAAGGAGGAGCTCCCTCTTTGCCTAAGGTCTAGGAAGAAAGATGATGGCTGGATGTTCCTCAAGGGTGGTGGAAAAACAACATTGAAGGATGGAGATGAAAGTGGGCGAAAATAGAGGTGGGAAGGTGGAAGGTGTTTTTGGTGCTCTTGGCTAGCTCTCTCCACCAAGGGTTGGTGGAGGCCACTTAAGGGAAACTCAAACTCTCTTTAGGGTAGAGAGGAGAGGAGGTTGGGCATGAGGACCCTAGGAGACTAAGGAAGGATTTTGAGGCACAAAGGCTCACTCAAAATGCATATATTTCAAAGTGGATACAAAGTGGAGGGACTAGAGTACTTATAGAGAGAGGAGAGCATCCTAGGGTTTCTTGTGAGCATTTGGCCAAAAATTTCAAGCCCAAATACACCCTAAAAGAACCTTAGATACAGCTCAAATGACATGGCTCTCATCTCTCCAAAAAGACTAAAGTACCCTTAGTCCTAGAAAATGAAAGAAATAGACTTTTGACCTTACTAGTTAAGGTTAAGTCCCTAAATAAATCCTAAGACTAATTTTTCCCCATAATAAAAAGGCTAAATAAAAATACAAAATAAAATCCTAATATCTAATGTACCCCAAAATACAATGGCAAAATAAGAAATGAAAGCAATAAGCTAAGGAAAGGGCCCAAAATCCACACATATGATGATCATGGATTTTGGTGTGGTGTGTTCTTCATCTTCCTCTACTCTCCTAGCCATGGACCTTGTGATAGGCCCTATATGATGTCTCAAGGATGGTCCTCCATCATCTCTTCCTTCTTGAGAAGGATTTGACCTTAAATCTTCAACCTCATCCATGTCATTAGTCCCTACAAAAGGCATAATATCACAAACATTAAAAGAGGAACTAACTCCATATTCGGAGGGAAGGTCTAGGATGTATGCATTGTCATTAATCCTCTTAAGGACTTGGAAAGGACCATCTCCCCTAGGGCTTAGTTTGGACTTCCTTTGAGTAGGAAATCTATCCTTCCTCAAGTGAAGCCAAACCCAATCCCCAACTTCAAAAGTTACCTCTTTCCTTCCTTTGTTGTTGTATTTGGCATATTTTTCAGTTTGCTTTTCGATTTGGCTCTTGAATTTCTCATGGTATTTTCTTATAAATTCAGCCCTAGATACTCCTTCTTTGTGATACAAGGAAGTAGTATTAGGGAGTGGGAGCAAGTCAAGAGGGGTGAGAGGATTAAAGCCATATACAACCTCAAACGAAGATAAGTTAGTAGTCTTATGGACTACTCTATTGTAGGCAAACTTTATGTGGGGGAGACATTCATCCTAAGTTTTCTTGTTCCCTTTGAGAATGACCCTTAAGAATGTGGATATGGATCTATTCACTACTTCTGTTTTCCCATCGGTTTGTGGGTGGCAAGTAGTGGAATAGATAAGTTTTATTCCTAGTTTTTCCCAAAGAATTTTTCAAAAATGACTAAGGAACTTAACATCCCTATCGGACATAATAATCTTGGGTAACCCATGCAAACGGACCACCTCTTTGAAGAAAAGTTTAGCAATATAGCTAGCATCATCTACTTTGTGACATGGTATAAAATGGGCTATTTTGCTAAAACGATCTACTACCACAAAGATAGAATCAAATCCCCTTTGGGTCCTTGGGAGACCAAGTACAAAATCGATGCTAATGTCAACCCAAGGGGAGCTAGCTATAGGAAAAGGGGTGTAGAATCCATGAGGCATCACTCGTGATTTTTCTTGAAGACAAGTGATACACTTGGAGCAATGCCTTTGAACATCCACTCTCATGTGTGGCCAATAAAATTTACACTTTAAAAGACTTAGGGTTTTATCAACCCCAAAATTGCCCATGAGTCCTCCCTCATGACTTTCCTTAAGCAAAAGCTTTATAATGAATCCTTAGGGTATACAAAGTCTTCCCATTTTAAAAAGGTACCCCTCAAGAAGATAAAACCCATCAAAAGGCTTTTGGAGGCATTTGGTGATGGTGGATTGGAAATCTTGATCATTCTCATACAATTCCTTTATATTATCAAACCCAAGAATTTGAGACGCCAAGGAAAAGAGTAATGAGTGTCTTCTAGATAAAGCATCTGCCACCACATTATTCTTTCCCTTCTTATATTTGATAATGTAAGGGAATTTCTCAAGATATTCGACTCACTTAGCATGTCTCTTGTTCAAATTCCCTTGCCCTCTGATGTACTTAAGTGACTCATGATCGGTGTGTATGATAAACTCTCTAGTCAGTAAGTAATGCTCCCAAACTTGGAGGGATCTAATAAGGGCATAAAGCTCTTTGTCATAGGTGGGATAATTCAAGGTGGCCCCATGAAGTTTTTCATTAAAGTAAGCAATGGGGTGGCCTCCTTGAAGTAACACGACATTTTTGCCAAAACCGGATGCATCACATTCTAGCTCAAAGGTTTGAGCAAAGTTTGGAAGAGCTAGAGTGGGTGTATGGCTGAGCTTTTCCTTAAGATCATGGAAAGCTTTTTCTTGGGCTTCACCCCAAATGAAAGGAACATCCTTCTTAACAAACTCATTAAGAGGGGATGCAAGTGTGGAGAAGTCCTTGACAAATCTTCTATAGAAGCTTGCTAAACCATAGAAGCTTCTCACATCTCCCACACTTTTTGGGGTGGGCCAATCTTGGATGGCTTTTATTTTCTCGGGGTCAACTTGCACTCCCTCTTTGCCAACTATAAAACCTAAAAAGTTCACATTTTCTTTACAAAAAATGCATTTCTCTAAGTTGGCATAGAGGTGGTTGTCCCTAAGAATTATTAAGACTTCTCTTAGATTTCCAAGATGCTTATCTAAGGATTTGCTAAAAACTAAAATGTCATCAAAAATAGACAACTACAAATTTTCCTATGCAATCCCTAAGTACACGATTCATGAGACGCATGAAGGTGCTAGGGGCATTGGTGAGACCAAAAGGCATCACTAACCATTCATACAAACCAAACTTTGTTTTAAAAGCGATTTTCCATTCATCACCCTCTTTGATTCTAATTTGGTGATAACCACTCTTAAGATCAATTTTGGAGAATATGATGGCCCCATGTAATTCATCCAACATATCATCTAGCCTAGGGATTGGGTGCCTATATTTTATGGTGATGTTGTTGAAGGCCCTACAATCCGTGCATATCCTTCATTTGCCATCCTTTTTAGGCACCAAAAGAATGGGAACGACACAAGGGCTAAGGCTCTTTTGAACCCAACCCTTCTTCAACAA